ATAATCAAGTTCTAGAGAATTTGTAGTGGAAGCTACCAAAATATTTGTTTATAAGATGTTAGGGACATTTCGTTGGCTACAGATACATAAAGCATTGCATTAAGCATCCCAGGAATGCTCATTTTGGTGGTATTTAGCTAAACAAAAACAAAAACAAAACAAAACCCCCAAAACCTAACCTCCTATCTTATGTTCCCATGAGCTGATTTGTGCATTGTCTTACCTTTGACTTAACCTGGCTCTACAGTTTATAAGAGAACTTTACATATATTTTAAAGTCAAAATTACTTTCTCTCTGGAAAAGCAACAAATGTTGGTCACTTGTTGGTCTTTAAAGATGGAAATAAGCATTACATCCTAATTATATTTAGATTTTTGCTAAAAATTCTAATCTCTTCAGTCTGCTCTTTTCCTTTTACCAGAATCCAAAGAGCCTGGCATGTCGTATGGATGTTAGGAGAGAGAATAGGCCTCCTTGTCTTTTTTTAATTAAAGTTTATGCAGCTTGTAGAAAGTAGTAATTTTCTAGAAAATTAGATAATTTTAGATCACTATAGTTCCACTCTTTTATCTTTAACATGGTTCTAAGCAAATCTTGTCCTTTAAAAACCATCAATTATAATGCAAAAAATATTGAAGTATTCTGAATTTAAAGTATTAGGATTTTTGCAGTCTGACCCCATCTCAATGAGAACAGGTATAAATGATGGGTCATACATGTATGCACAGTGTGACAACGCACGCTGGTTTCTGTCTGGCCTATCAGAGTAATACATGGCAGCACAGGTTCCTGCTTGTGTGAAACAGCATCTTTGTTGCCTCCTTCCTGATTCTGGGGCTTATGATCCACATGCCCAAAAGGGCCTTTTAAAGTCACCATTCTTTCTCTAAATGAGGCGGAAATCAAATTTAACCAGGAAGTAATCGTATTGAACCAAAGGATTAAAAAATAATTTAGCAGAGAAAGGTGGTCTTTTTCTCACGAAAATACTGTTAGGCTTACTTTTAATTGATTCATCTAAAATTTTTAGTGGCTCCCATGGTCTATCAAGGAAAGACAAGCTCCATAGTCTGGCATACCTGAGGAGGCTTAGGAGGCCGCTGGACTCTGGAGTGAGACTGCTGGATAATCATGAGGCAGTTATTTTTCTTTTCTGAGTCTCAGTTTCCTTTCTGTACAATTGGAATAACAATAGAATTAACTTATGTGGCATTGGTAGAATTAAATAAGAGAAATGCCTCTAAAATGCTTAGCAAGGTGTTTTGTGAAAAGTAAATGTTCAAAGACTACTAGTTAATGTTTAACATGAACATAATGCTTAACAAGCCTTTTGGTTTCTTCTGCAAAAGCTATGCTCTTGTTATAGAAACCACTCACCTGGGATGGTTCATCTGGCTAACTTCTCACCTCTCTAATTCTGCTCAAGTAATACCTCCCCTGGGAAGTCTTCCCTGATGCTTGAAATTAGGTGTCTGCCTTTGTGCCTCCATAGCACCCACTGCTTATTTCTTTTATTGTCATCGTTGCTTTACTTATCTGTCTCCCTAATTAGACTATCAGCTGTGGTGAGCACAATGTAATATTTCTCTTTCTCAGAGCTCACAGCTGAGCTTGGTAGATAGTAAATACTTAATATATGTATGTAGAAGGAATAAATATTCAAACTTTCCTTTCTGTTTGCTTGCATTTATAAATAAATTGTAACTGGATGTATTCTTGTACATTTAGTTTTCACTACTTAATACTCCTCAAGGAGAGGGCTCAAAGGAACCTAACATTTATTACCATAGTAACTTTATGAAGAGTTTTGATTTTGGGATCTGTAATGAACTGTTGGTATTTTTAAGATAAAATATCTTCAGGACTCATGGATAAGTTGGGTTATCTGTACAAATCTTTGACACCTGACCATACTACTCCACATATGGCATATGCATGGTCTCAGATAGTGATTTGGAGTACCTACATGAGTGCTAATAGTTAGGTTTCAACTATCACAATGTCCTGGCCAAGTGGGCTTCCAATAAAATCAATTATGCCATTGGTTTAAAGGACATATGTATATGTAAAAGTCATTAATAGACATTGGAGGGATCTAAACATCTTTAAAAGACCATTTAGGCTTGTCTCATTGGCATCTTGGATTCATACAACTCTTGAAGAGAAACAGGGAAACCTTCATTGTGTGGCAGGTTAATTTGAGGGAAGATGGGTATAAAGTATGATATGTCAGAATTATAGAATATTGGAATCTACTGTATAGTAAATATTTACACAAGCAGGAACCAATAATATGTGGCCAAGTCCTCATTAATGGGTCTGCTTTAAGGAGTAGGCTAGGATTCTTTGCAATCATTTCATTAATCCTCAGAAACAGTTATTACTGGAGTGTTTGAAAGCAGTTTGTTTTCTTAAGATTAATCACCCCCTGCAAAGCTTATTTAATTAGATTTGTAAACTCTTTTTCTTCTATGAAAGAAAAAGTTAAACCAATTTCTCATCTTGGAATTATCAAATGTTTCAAAGGCACAAGGTCCAAATTTAACTAGATTTTCCTGGAATAACTTAATAAATATATGAATTAAGTGATAATGATGATTCCTACTGTTCTGCTCTTGTAAACCATAACTGCTGTTTATAATCTCTCCATTAGCCCTCTTGAAAATAAAGTGAAACAATACAAAATTTATGAAGAAAAAAAAGAAATTCCACTTCATTGTGAGAACAATAGACTTTCCATTGATGATTAAGGAATATTACTCTCTTCAAAGTAAACAATGAAGAAATTTTCATTTGGTTGCTGGTTCAGAGCATGGGCCTCACAGAAGTTGCAAGAAAAGCTTGGGGGAAATTCATGTCTATTTTCTTGCACCTGGCAGGGCAATCCTATGCCATCAGAGTCAGATCTGCTCAAAACCCAACACAACCCTAGCCCCACACTTATACAGTCCCATGAGGCAGTTCAGTTACCTGTTCAGACAAAGGAGATCAAGGAAAGGGAAGGAATGAAGAGATAGGAATTTGTATTTTGCCCCGGGCGTAAGATAGTGTGGGTGGTTTATGGGATCCTAAGATTAGAAAATGGTAACTAGTAAGAGAAATGATAAGGTTTGCCATGCAAATGATTCTTTCTATTTGTGCCACTTTTTATTTTTCCAATTATTTATTAATGATTTTATAATTTTATTTTCTTAACCTTACTTTTATTGTTGAAACTATTACAGATGTCCTCATTCCTTCCCACTCCCCCTTTGCCCACCTCCACCCTGCCCTCTGGCCGTCACCACACTGTTTTCTGTGTTTATGGGATACATGTATATGTTCTCTGGCTCATCCCTTCACCTTCTTTCATTCAGTGCCCCCTTCCCTCTCCCCTCTGATAGCTGTCAGTCTGTTCCATATACTGTATCCATGTCTCTGTTTCTATTTTGTTCATTAGTTTATTTTGTTCACTAGATTCCACATATAAGTGAGATTATATGGTATTTGTCTTTCTCTAACAGTATTTCTGCCACTGCTTTTGTGGCACCTTCCTATTTATTAATGCTTCATATCTTTTCATGAAAATTTGAGGTGACTTTAATAACTGACATATAAAAAAATATTTTACCCCTTCCACTCTCACTCAAGCTATGGAGTCACTCATAGCACACTGACCAAGTAATTTCTGCCAACGGAACGAATCCTTCAACTGGCATTATGATGAGCACATTGACATGTATAAAAAAAACCCTTGATTTGTTTTTCCCATGTGGATAACATGGATCCAGAAAAAGACAGCCTTCTCTCCTCCCTCCAAATATCAAATCATTTTTTTCCACATAAATATGGCCTAACTGGTCCATCTATCAACCATATTTAAAAGACATTCAAACAAGAGGCTACAACTTCTCTTGGAAGTCTATTCCTTGTGGTTGCTCAAAGGATAGTGTGAAAACTTTTTATTGTTTCAGATTGGACCTCCCAAGCCTGACTGGGAATTTTTATGCCTGAGTGCCTAAAATATTCCAAGAAAATATGGTTCAAACCACCACATTTTCTTGCTTTCAGGTTTAAACCCTATAAAACCAGCACATTTTGTATGGTTTCCACCCCAAACCATAAGTTGGCATGAGATCCCACTAGATGCTCTGCTCAGGTTTGAGTGAAATGTTCACCAACCTTGACAACACTTTTGGCCGACTTGTCACTAACTTGGATGCAGGTGAAACAGCTGAGTTCTCACCAACAGTTTCTTCATTCGGATCCCTTTTTTGACCTCCTGCACCCCAAGTTGCAGACACGTAGTCATTGCCTTGTACTGGGTCACTCACTGTTACTTCCTCTGTGACTTTCTTCTAATGATTGCCTTATCTTGGAAATTTCTCTTTTTTTTTTTCCTTTTCAAAACTCACCTCTTATGTGTATTTCCCCTCACATTGTACACTTTGAGGATAAATCAGTTTTGCAAAGGATTTAAAACTTTTTACAGAATGCATAGGGCTCTAGATTGTAAGTTCCATATGGGGAGGTTAGACTCGCAGCGGTTCTCAACCTGTGGGTCGCAATTCCTTTTGCGGTCGAACAACCCTTTCACAGGGGTTGCCTAAGACTATCCTACATATCAGATATTTACATTACGATTCATGACAGTAGCAACATTACAGTTATGAAGTAGCAACGAAAATAATTTTATGGTTGGGTCACAACATGAGGAACTGTATTTAAAGGGCCAGAAGGTTGAGAACCACTGGAGAGTTATTGGATCAAATACAAGATTTTTATTAGCTAAATTTGGCAACCCTATGAACATTGTATCTCTGTCTTCCAGAAACCCCTACCCAGCAGGTGCTCAGTAAATATTGGTTGGCTGAATGACTAAAGGAAAGAGGATGTATATCTTGGAATTTTAATTCTCTCTAAATTATACCACATAAGAAGCTGGCTTACCCTGTTGGCCTGGACCCATTTCATAAGATCTCAGGTCTCTGAGTTCTTGATGGAGATTGAGGTAGGCATGGTCCTTGACTTTCCTCATTTTGCTTTTTTGTGTGACCATTGTTCTAGAAGGATATCCTTGTTTCTTTAAGAAGCCTGTGGGATAAAAAGGACAAGGGAAGGAGCACCTGCTGTTAGGTCATAGTTCACTAAGGGGAGAGTAATCCCGACAATTGGGTTGGGAGGCCTGGAGAGAGGCAGGAAGCTGGTAGCTTCCTGCTGTCATTCTTTCCCCACCAGAAGCTGGAGCTCCCTTAATAACCACAAATATACAAATAGGAGCCTCCAGGGAGTGCCTGGGTGCTGGGAGGGGAAGTAATAATAGCAGTTTGGGTTGACTAGAATCTTTTATAAATAGTTCTAATGCCCCCAAAGTCATTATCATGAGAATTCTTAAGGCCTCTGTGGAAAGGGAAAACTGTCTCAACATGTTTATTTTATCATTATGTTAAATTATCAATTACATTTATTATTGAAACTCCTATAAAATCATAAGGGTGCTTTTACTTTAAGAGCTAAGGGCCATGAGACACAAAGGCAGTGTTGACTTTGTCTTCATTTCTTGCATCTACCGTTTTCTTCAGAAAGTCTCCAGGACTTTCCCAGGACTTTGTACTCAGTACTTCTCCTTGGTGTCCATCAGTCAGTATCTCTCCTAAACATGTGACTTGGAAAGTTAAGAACTCATGAGTTAAGTGCTTACATTTCAGGGATTTCCTGGGTATATCATACTAATGTATGTGACCTGTTTATTTAGAGCTGTGATTAAAGTTTATGGGAGCTCTATTTCATGTATGCCTGCTTCTGAAAGACAAGGAAATGCTTTAAGCTTGAGAGAAATCAACTCTGAGCCAGATAGAATGAGCCCAGAATTCACATTCCTACCTACACACTCCCTTCTGTTCTGTTTCCTGAGTGGATTATCTCTGATGCTTGTTTATCTGATTTTTAGAATCTACTTCTGTCCTCAGGCACATTGACAGATAGAGGAAAACTACGTGCTATCTGCCTAGTTACTGAATTCTGTTCTAACAAAATATGGTCAAAATCCCATTCAGCAAAAGTGCCCTCAAAGGCGTAGAATTTTGGTTTTCTATACTTGATGATTAAAATATGTGGTTTTGGAGTCAGATCTATTTGCAATGGGATCCTGGATCTCTTTAGTAGCCTGAATCAAGTTGCTGTACTGTTCTAAACTCTAGTTTTCTAGTATATAAAGGGAGATAATTATAGTACCTACTGCATAGGGTTGCTAGAATGAAATGACCTACTGTACAGAGTCTAGCCCATACATAGTAAGTGCTCAACAAATGACAACCATCATTGTTCAAAGTCTGGGACAGAAGATTTTCTTTTCAAACAGATCCTCAGAATGTTTCTGTTAAATAAACACACTCTGTGGCCCAGATTGTGCTTGTGGGCCATAATGGAAACTGTGGCAGTAATGTCCCTGCACCTGGCTGGCCACATTCCTGGCCTCTCCCCTGAATGTCCAGCTTCTGGTTTAACTGGAAGTTGGGAGGCAGGGTCAGGACACTCTTGTACCCTATGACATAGCCAAGACTAGAGCCTGGTGGGAAGGTGGGTGAGGCCTCTCTGATGCCAACCCAATTGTCTCTGACATTTCCAGCTGCTTCTCCTACCCAACTTTCTGGGGGTTGTTTTAGGGACAGTGCATTCCCAGTACTGTAGAGGTGGTAGCTGAGCCACTGCCTGGGGCTCTGCTGAGTTTCTGGTCCTGCCTCCAAACTTCCAGTGCTCTACTGGCTCAACCAGAAGTTCAGGTGTGGGGTGGCCCAGTGGTGTGTGTTTGGCCTGGGAGGATGGGTGGGGTGCAGTGGAAAGCACTTGAGCAATGAATCTAGAGGCCCTGGGGAAGGTACTTTTTTTTGGTAAGTGGAATTTTACCTTATGCCCCCTGACTTCTATGTATTCTGAGCTTCCAAAAAGTTCAGTCCCACCAGGAATATAACTGCCACTGCAAATGGGTTGTAGAAAGGGATCAGAGGAAGAAGAAAATTGAGATGGGTTGCTCCCTTTAACAGTGTCTCTTAACACCTCTTCAGCATTATTTCCTCTGAGCATTGTTTTCCTTTGAGTCTTTTTAGGAAGTCTTCTCAGTTTCTGGCCACCCACAGAAATAGAAGCTAAAAACAAAAAACAAAAACGTTGAGGGAGCCTCAACATTCTTGTTTTTTCATCTTTGTTCATCCTTTCAATCCTATCATCCATACATTTTTTTTTTTTTTTGCTATTCTTCTTTCTTAGAGCTTAGGAAAACGGAGCTTTTAAATTAATACTCAAAACATGGAAAAAGATAACTTTAACTTTAGAAGAAAACAAGCCAGAGGGAAAGCAGGCTAGTAGAGTAAGGAAGATGAAAAGGAAAAGGAGGAAGAGTGAGCTCCTCAATCCCAAATTAATAAGAAACGGTCCCAAGTTAATATGGACCAGGCAAGGCCTCTTACCTTATTTAAATTTCAGAAAGGAATATGATGAAATTTGATAAAATTGGAAAGGAAAACCCTCCCACAAGGGTATCAATGATATTGAACAGTTCAAAGTGTTGAGAAAATCCTGGCCATGTGCCTGTGATGACCTATCCAGTTAGATCAAAAGGATTTGGAATTATCTCCCGGTATTGGTCATTTCATTTTGTGACAGTTGTGATATATTTTATACGTGAGGTTAGAATTATAACTATAGGCTTGCTATAATAGGCTTTCTTTTGTATTGAGCATAAATTCAGTTCTTATTTATTTATTTATTTAATTTTAGCATATTGAAAACATCCTCCAATTCTGGTAGAGTCAGAGCAAAATAAAAAAAGATGATTCTCCTACTTAAGGAAGCTATAAATTATGAAAAAAAATCAAGTAACTTAATTTGTGGTGGTGGTGAAAATAGGAAGGGGGGGGGTCTGAGGATCTAACATATAACATGGTGACTACAGTTGATAACACTGTATTGTATAATTGAAATTTGCTGAGAGAGTAGAACTTAAATGTTCTCAACAAGAAAAACAAATGATAAATATGTGAGGTGATGGATGTGTTAATGAACTAAATGGGGGAAATCCTTTCCCAGTATAGATGTGTATCAAATTGTCATGATGTACACTTTAAGTAATTTACAATTTTATGTGTTAATTATACCTCAATAAAGCTGGGAAAAAACTACTAAGAAGAGCAAATGTTTTCCTTTCCCAGGATTGAATTCTGTATATGGAGTTGTATAAAAACGTTCTAAATGCCATTGCCATGGTAGAGGAGCCTGCTTGGAAATCCCAGGTGTCCCATTTCTCCAGTGGAGGGGCACTTCACCATGGAGGGGGCACATTTATCTCTGTGCCTCCTGTGCTAGTTAGCTGGCACACTTCGTGTTTCTCAATCTAAACCAAACCGTAGTGGAGAATAGCAAAGTATTCTGAGGAAAAGCTACTTATTCATTTGCCTATTTTCACATACAATTGTCTTGGTGGTAATCTGGTTTAGAAACCTATTCCCAGAATATTCTATTTTTTTTTAAGTTTTTTTTTTTTTTTGCTGTTGCTGTTGAGTGTTTATGATGTGTTAGGACTTTAAATACCCCAGGTGCTCAGTACTCCTCCCAGGTGACATCACAGTGCTTGCGCAGCCCAGTGATGGGGGAGTCCTGATGGCAGTGCACAGTATCGAGCCCATTGCCAGGGTTCAATCCATCTTAAACAATAGCAGCAGCAGCTGTGAGAGGGATCCAAAGACCAATTTGTTGGAATAAAGCAAAACAGGGCTTTGCCATATGGGAGATATATCTCAGATGGGTTTATTAGATGTAGGATGATTTTCCTTGTAGCCTAAGGGCTTTCTGGAGGGGATCTGAAATCTTTTCACTATGTGCACATCATTGCCAGATGTGGATATAGTGAAGTAAACCTCATCCTGTGTGTGTGTGTGTGTGTGTGTGTGTGTGTCTGTGTACATGCATATGTCCATGGGTGAAAATGGCAAATTCTGGCTCATACCTAGTTTCAGTTTATCTCACTCTCACTTTCTAATGCAAAAATTTCTTCATGGACCTTTTAAATATGCAGTAGGACTTTCTCCCCACCCCCATCTGAATAAATTATGGGTGATATCAAGTCCACCAATATGTAGAACTAGAGGCAGTAAAATAATGATAGAACATGGTTATTTCATGGAGGACCCTGCCAGTATTCTAATAGTAGGATGTAATGGACTGCTCCACCAAAACTTAAAAATTAATAATGATTACTAATCCCATTAATCAGAATTTGTCATGTGAACAGATCAGGGATCTGTTGCATTAAGCTGTCATGTGGTTGCAATCATACCTTTTTAACTGCCATCAGAGGTAACTGTCAGCAACACCACATCTTCTCTTCAGTCTATTCTGCCTTCAGGTCCCTGGGGTTCCATCCTGAGTTCGGGGCGATTTGAACGATACGCTAATGACCTGCTGATTGTCTGCACAAAAGCAAAATCATACACTGTTCAGGCAACACAGTTATTCCACACAAAAGCAAAGGACTGTCTGGTGTCAAAATAATACCATGCTCTAACTTTGATAAAGATTTTTTTTAACTGACTACAAGGTACTAGTTGGTGCTAATGTGTGTGGCAGAAATAATGTTTATTCAAATAGCTAACAGGTTAGCAGCAGGGAAATTTCAGGAATATGTGTGTGTGTCTCCGTGTGTATGTGTGTGTGTGTGTGTGAAGGATGCTGTTAGATAGCTGTTTCTGTTCATATTTTTGGTTCTAATTTTCAAAGGTATAGAAAATACAAATGTATTTGTTTCAGTTGGATATTTACTCATGTTGGTGATTACTAAGATACACTTTATTTTTATTTTATTTAAAAAATCATATTTTTGATTTCAGAGAGGAAGGTAGAGAAAAATAGAAACATCAATGATGAGAGAGAATCATTGATCAGTTGCCTTCTGCACATCCCTCATCTGGGATTGAGCCCGTAACCCGGCATATGGCCTAACCAGGAATTGAACTATGATCTCCTAGTCCATAGGTCGATGCTTAACCACTGATCCATGCCAGCTAGGCCTTAAGATAGACTTTATTTTATTTTATTTTCTAGTGATAAGCACCTTTTTATTTTTAATTTTTAAAAATAAGTCTTTATTGTTCAGATTATTACAGTTGTTCTTTTTTCTCCCCATAGCTCCCCTCCACCCAGTTCCCACCCCACCCCATGCCTTT